TTCCTCGAAATCGACTTCGCCGATTGGCCGATGAAAATGGTCGACGAGTTTCCAAACATCGTGGGATGGAAAAAAAATTCGATGCACGTAGAGATCTAGAGCTGCAAATATTGTCGACACCTAACTCCGAATGGGTGAGCGGCCCCGTGCGAAAAAGCGAAACTGGGAACGGTGATTTTCAATTTCCACACGATTCTCGCGCGTTTGTTTTCGTCACGGGTTCGACGTTTCGTCACCACTTGTTGTGTCGGGACGTTGATGTTCCAGTGGAAATCAATAGAATCCATGAAACGAGGCGATCTCCTTGCAACGACGAGTGACTCTGCGCTCAATCCAATTATCTATCTCGTTCTCTCTCTCTCTCTCTCTCTCTCTCTCTCTCTCTCTCTCTCTCTCTCTCTCTCTCTCCCCTCCCCCCTCTCTCCCTCTCTCCTTCGCGATAAGATTCGAATTAACGATGATTCATACAACGAAGGGGAGGGGGAGTTCCCCTCCCCCCTGGAATTCTAAAAGAGTTTAAAATATTCCACGATGTAATCCTTTGGAATAATAGCTTAAAAAAAAAAATTATATAATATATATAAATTATATATATTATATAAATATTTCGCTTTTTCAATATCCTGACAGGATATTTTTCGATTGATTCTTAGAAAAAATTGAAAATAATTGTAATAATATAATATATAATAATATATAATAAAATAATATAATAAATATATAAATAATTGTTGGAACTGTTATCAAACATCTCGTGATGAGATATTTGAGTTTAATTTATCCTTTTAATTCTATCTGCGTTGTCGAGACAATTGAAACGAACCAACTTTTTTTCTATGTGTATACTTTATTGAAATGTAATTTTATTTGGAACCCCTTTAAAAAATCGGAAATTTAAAATATCCTTTTTTGGATGAGAAAATATATTATGATAAAGTAATCTAAGAACCATGATCAAACTATCACTGTATCTGTTTCATTCGATGTGAAACAGATCGATGTAGAATAATGAAGATTGATAGAGCATTGGAACAAATAGGTATAGACAAATCTACATTAAGTTAATCGTCAATGATCGTTCACAGTCGTAAACGAGTTTCCACGTTGGATGAATGTGAGAAAATTTGCCTTCGTGATATCGTTAATCGTTGGCAGTTAAAAATTCTTAATTATAAAGAAACATTGAATAATTTCCAATAATTCGAGAAAGAACGAAATCACGTTCTCTCTCCATTTTCCACCAATCGATTCGATTTCGTTGTTCGTTTCACCTCAGATCAGAATCGAAATCAAAGATGCTTGATCCCAAGACGACGAGGAAGAGGAGAAGAACCAAGCAAGATCAATTTTCCATTTGAGACAAACCTACGCGCGAAGATAATAACGAAAAAAACTTAAAAAAAATAATAATAAAATAAGTAAAAAAAATGTTGAAAAAAGTGTAAATGTTCCTGAAAAAAATTGCTGCTTAAAAATTTTATAATTCGCGCTAATTCTTTCATCCATCAATATTTTCCTTTTCCGAAAATTTTAAACAAAGGTAAAATCTATATTTACTTAACTTGTTGTATTTAAATAGAATGACATATTTTTTGCAACATATTCTCTATAAAAAAGCTGCTAAACTATTCATAAATATAATAGATACTTTATAGAAATAGAATTATGCATAAAGAACAATATATCATTCTCTATAAAAAACTGCTAAATTATAGATACTAAACTATAAATAGAATTAACTCTGTGAAAAACTATTATAACTATTTATAAATAGAATTCTAAATAGAACTATAAATAGAATTATATATTCTTTAATTTAGAATATTATTCTCTACGAAAAAAAAAAACTATTAAATTATCTACAATAATTTATTAACTCTCGAAATTTTTCGACAGATTAAAATTCACGATTAAATTCGGGAATTTCAATTAACGAGGAGATCGAGAAATCGCTTTAGCCGGGAAAACAAAAGAGGGCAGCAGATTCGGGTGCAGAGAAGGTAACCGTGTCTGTGACGTTTCAGTTCTACGGAGCGGCGGAAAACGGGGAGGGACGTAGGTAAACCGTTTACGCGAGAACGATGTTTCGAGAATGTTCCTCGCGGTCAACGAGACCTAACCTGGAACACGTTGCACTTTGAATAAAGAACCGATTTTTTTTTCCATTCTCTCCGTTTTCTTCATCCTTCTGTCATCGATCTGTTCTGTCCCGATATACATTAATTTATAAAATTGTTTCGCTGCACGATGAAACGATCGAGGCGAGAATTTGTGCTCGCGGAAGAGGATTATTAGATTTCGTTATTTGCGATTAGATTTAACATTGATCGATTTGTGGATTGACAAATTTTTTTTTTCTAACGAATTGCTTCGTGAGTCCTTCGATACCAAGGTGAAATCAAATTAATATTATTTTCAAAGGTATTGAATTACATTCTATATTAAGAAAAATAGAAGAATTCTGTGAAAAACTATTATAACTATTTATATATTTTATATATTATATATATTATATATATTATATATTTTCTGGACGAGCGATGAAAACGAAAATATTTTTATACGAAATTGGTAATAATAAATATTTTTTGAATGAATGAAAAAAAATTCAACGACGATTTTTATTCTTCTTCGTTTCAATATCGAATAGAATCGAATAGAATGGAAAAATAATTATACCGCAATCGTAAGAAAATATATGGACGAATAGTAGAAAACGATCTCTCGATTATTATTGCGATTCGTTCGTGTTAGTTCCCTTTCATTGTAACTTTTTCACGAAAGCCACCAGTTCTCCAAAGAAAATCTCGACTCGTTGGAAGAAAGAAGACGCCGAGAGATTATTCGTGCGTTAAATCGTGCTAACCTTCCCAAACCTTTTTCCATTATTATTGTCTTAACCTTCATCAAGCCTAAACAAAGACACTTGCTTAAATCGTATATTTTTGATACACACAATCCCTGATTATCCCTGATTATTATCTTGTTACGACTGTCAGAGTTGAGCATTAACTCGTTGAGTTAAACTGGTGGAAAGAAATTTCGCAAAAAGAAACGCTTATTTTCTTTCTTCGCAACGATGTGTATTTAAAATAAATATAAAATAAATAGCTTCTAATCGATTTGATTAGATCCAAATGATTTAAAAGTAGAAACTAAAAAAAGATTAACTATTATTATATATACTATAATGATATAATTGAATTTATATAGAGATATATATGTAGAAATTTCTATTGAAATTTTTTTTTAACTATAACCTCGAATGCATCAGAATAGGCATAGAATTCTAATTCTTCACATATCTAATAATATAATAATATAATAATTCTTTTATTAAAGATAGTTTACTTTTTAAATGTAATTTTATTCTAACAGTTAAGATAATAATTACTCTAAAAAATACTTAATAAAATGAAAATAATTTTTACGATTTTTAATATTCGAATTATACCTTCTCTGCTATCACTTACAGTGTCAAGATTGTTAATGAAACGTCCAAAGTGGGGATACCCTTTTGCCCCTCTGCGCCGTCCTACGAGACTTCTTTCCACCAGTAACCAGTTGAAGATATTTCGAATAAAATTACTCGAAGTAACTACTTATTTAAAATGTTTTCGAGTTTAACGTTTTATATTTTGTTTTTCTTATCTACGACTATTATTATTATTATTATGTTTCAAACGATAAAATAAATAGCTTTATTCGCAAGTTCAATGATTAAATTTTACCGCCGGCTCAGTACCGATCAATTTTTCTAACTTAAAGACAACTTATGCTGAGCTCTCGAATAAAAAATAGAAAGAAAGAAAAAGAGAGATAGAGATAGAGATAGAGATAGATAGATAGATAGATAGATAGATAGATAGATAGATAGAGAGAGAGAGAGAGAGAGAGAGAGAGAGAGAGAGAGAATCGTCCGATATCTATGGATGCGAAGATACTTCATATGCAATTGATACTTCGTCGCATACGACAAATAAATGGTTTCTTTGTAACTATGCCTAGTAAAGAGTCGGGCGTGGTTACAATATGAATTCACTTACCGTTATGGAAATATAGAAATATGGAATATGGAATATGGAAAAATATGTATATACATGTTTGTTCGACAACCATCAACCATCACCAACGCTATCAACGCGAACAAGATGAAGTCGAACAATTGCATAACAACGATGAAAGGAAATACATATGGAAAGAAGAATCTTTTATTCTTTTCTCTTTCGAAAAATACGAATAGAAATTGTGGATAAATATATATATATATATATACGAATGAGAAGCAGCGAAGGGCAGTCGAGAAGAAAAAGAAACTGAGATCATCTGGGTTTGTGATGAGCAAGTTCTAAATTAAATACACGGAATGCATATAGAAGATTGGACGCGTACAATCAGGCTGGAGTCCATCAAATTCAATCAAAGATATATATATATATGTATATATGGGAAGATAGCTCCACCCTGGCGCGCTCGCGCGGGACGAAATGTTGTGTCAAAGTGTGGCTGGGATCGAGAGGGATGTCATGAATAATACAAGGCAGTGGGTCAGTCGACGGTGGAAAAACCATCGATTTGCAAGTCAAACGAACTCGAGTGTCTTACTTAGTTAAATGAAAAAAAAATGAAGGGAAAGAAAATGAAAATTGATTACATATATATTCGTTTCGAATTGTTTAAGCCGCCGCTCGAGACAGTGATGAAAACAAGAACGAGACGAACGAATTAAAAACGCTCGATAAAATAATTTCCACACTAATTTTTAATCGACGTAGAGATTAATCGCACTCGATCTTTTAAGAAAAAGAAAATTGATTATACGTATTCATTTCGAATCGTTTAAGTCGTTCGGGACAGCGATGACAACACAAATGAGATGAACGAATTAAAAACGCCCGATCGATAAAAAAAATTTCTACACGATACGATTAAATCGCAATCGATTTCTTTTACAGAATTAAGTTTCTCGAATTTTTTCGTTTTTTTCCAAATTTACTTACCAAAAGAAATGATAAAACAGACGAGTACGGGAAGAGAAGTAGACATCGCTTTTCCTCGGCGAGGTTCTTTCACATATTGACGATATACACTATCTCACACGCATTTCGCAATCGTTTCACGCCGTGTCACGCATCCTTCACCACCCTAACTTCACCACTTTCTCGATCGGGGCGGCATTTCGCGCGATCAATCGCAATCCCTTGCACTTCACCACTTCTATCTATCACTTTGCTACAACACCTTCATGACATACACTCGCGCTCTTTCCACTCTTCGCCTCCACTCTTCTTCCTCTTTCCTTCAGAAAAGGAAGAGGAGAGAAAAAAAAACAGCAACAAACAACTCGCGCTCGAGCTCGATGTTTTATTCACTCGATGAAAATATTCAGTGGAAAATGTATAACGTAACGTAACGTAACGTAACAACGTACAAACCCCCGATTGTAGACGCGAGAAACCCCGCTAATGAATGTAATTAACGACGTGGGACGAAGGGAGGGAAGGCGGGGGAGGGGGGGAGAGAGAGGGGTTATTTCGTGGACGGGTGGCGGTACGGCGTCAGTTTGCACTCTGGCCTAAGATCGAAGAGAAATAGAGAGAAAGGGGGGAGGGAGGAGAAAGAGAGAGAGAGAGAGAGACAGAGAGAGGTCGGTCGGTCGACGCTTTTATGCCTCTCGCCGCATTCACCGCCGCAAAGTCGTTCGCAATGCATTAGGCGGCGAACTCGTTAAAGTAATTTCCCCGACAACCTAGACGTTCCATCGATCATTCCTTCTCCTTCTCCAGCGCATCCTTTCCTCGAATCTTGCCTATATATATATATGTATGTATATGTATATTCCTTTCCTTTCGATCGAAAACTCAATTATCTTGTTTGTCGCGCAACGTACACATTTCCTTCCTTCCTCTTCGATGTTCCTCTTTCTTTCCTCCTCGTGTGCCAAATCGTGATAATGTGAGCGGTCGAAAGGATCTTTTTTATCACCGGAAACAAGATTCTCTTCAACATCGACGCGCCATCGAATTCCCACTGTCTGGATTTCCTCGCGCAACAAGCCTTGTAAATTTTTTTCTATGAAAGAAGATTTCCTTTTGTCAAACGACGTGAAATAATTTGCCGATTTAATTTCGTGTATATGGGAAACAACGTTGATTTCCAGACAAGATTCGAATGAGATTCAGCCTCGGCGAACGATGATCCGATACGTCGGCCAGTTCACCGAGCAAATCACATGAAAGATTCGTGGCCGACTACTACGCATCCTCTCTAGATCGGTGGACTTTCTGGATTCTCTCTCCCTCTCTCTCTTCGAGTTATCCACTCGCGCGTGCACTCCCGTCGAAAATCGATCTCGTGGATCGATCTCGGATCTCTGTATCTCGAAGGGGAAGGGTTTTTTGAAAAATGGTTGGAACCGCGTTTTTACGCGAGTGTCCTCGTCGTCAATGTTCCATCCATGTCCCGTTCCAGGTTCACCGAATCACGATTCACCCAGTGTTACGTCACTGCAACACATTTCTCGTTCGAGGCTGTTCGATCTTCTCGTATTCACCATGCATCACTGATCCTCTTCTAGCTACCTCGCCCTCTCACAGATCTCCCCTTCTTCTTTGTGCACAATTTTTAAAAATAACTTGTAGAAGGAGAAGGAGAAAGAGGAGGATAAAGAATCCACACAGTCCACGCGATCACGACGGTCGGAATATCGCCTCCTCCTGAACAGAGAACGACGGGAGAGAGAGGGAGAAAACGGAGAAGCGGCAGTGGCGTTTGACGTTTTGACGGAACGCGCGCGACGGAGGAGAAGGTCGCGGCTGTTTCGAAACGACGATGCTCCCGCGTCAAGGATAGCCGAGGGACTACATTGCGCGAGCGCCGCTCGAGCCTCGAGCACGCAGCCGCCCCGTGCATCCTCCTCTCTACTCCGTAACCGTCACTCCAACACCTTTGCGCAACCCCGTGTCCGTGTCCCTTGCTCGGTCGAGTATGAGTGAGGGGCGCGCATGCGCATGCGCGCCCCTCACCTGTGTCGCGCGTGTGTCCATAGCTCGCTCGCTTGTGCATCGTACCACCACCCTCCTCTTCCTTCTTCTTATTCTTTCGCCACTTCTCTCCTCTCCTCTTATTTCCCTTCCGCTATTGTACCGTTCAACCGTTTTCTCTTCTCTCTCTCTCTCTCTCTCTCTCTCTCTCTCTCTCCTTTCTCCTTCTCAACTCTTTCTTCTTCCCCTTCCGAGATTCCCTTCTGAAAGGGGAAGATGATGGACGGTTCGATGGACGTGTAAGAGAACGCACGAATCCGATTATGAATTATACGGGATACGTATAATTGAAGAAAGGGAGGGATCGAAATCAATTTCGCGGTGACCGAACGACTCGATTCGACTCGACTCGACTCGACTCGATTCGAGCATGAGAGAGAGAGCAAAAAAGGAGAGAAAACGCGATGAATAATGGAAGGTGGGGATGATATCTTTTCTTTCTTTCTTTCTCTTCTTTTTTTTTCTCCTCGATCGATTTTAGAATATATTGAAAATATGGAGGAAAAGGAGGGGAAGAATTTTCGATTATTGATTATTGAAAAAAATTGGGGGAAGAAGGAGGGAAAGATCGACGGTCTGTCTACACTGTCTGTGTAATTGACTACTGACCGAGTCGAGTTTCGCCATGCGGAAAACACGAATATGGAGACTCAGTCTGATCGATGTGTATATATTGAAGAGGGTTCGAATGGGTCCACGTATCTCGAAAAGGAGATTTCATCGTATATATTAACCACTGGTTATTAAATCGGCCAACTTCCTCCTTCAAGTTCTGTGATTACGATATAGTCCCACGATGGAAATTCGTTTCGCGTCACTTTGGTTTCCAATTGAGAATATTTTCTTCTCCGAGAATTATTTCTTCGTACATTGTTTGTGGATCAAGAAGACACGATTCATCGATGGAATTTCGTAATTCCGTATACGGGATACGCAAATACAAATGTTATTATACGCCGAAGTAGCATAATTTTCCATTCGAATTGTAGAAATCGCTACTTCTATCGCTTTCCACGTTCAATTTTTTTACGGTCGCCGGAACGGATGGAACAAAAGATCAACGAACAGTAGACGATGCTCGACGAATGAATTTCGCTACTCACGAGTTTTTCCACTGTTGCTACAAATTCGCCCCATTCGTTTCAAACCTTTTATATCGGTCGCGATCTATATTGCGTTCCCAACTTCTGTCTACAAATTTTTTTTTTTTTTTTTTTTTACGATATTTTTTATATACAAGTAACAAAGCTTAACAAAGCCGATAACGATAAAATTACAAGATAATAACATCTCTCGTCGTTTGTAATCCCGTTCAACAACTTTCCCTACAACGTCGAACAAACTATTTACGTTTTACCTCAAACTTGCATCGAGTTACGAGAGAACATCCTCGAAAACTTGCTCACACGTAGAATTCATATATATATATATGTACATATATATATATATATATATATATATATATATATATACTCGCTTAAAGAGGGGGGATAGAACGAGTTGATTCTTCTCCATTTTCACACACACACACACACACATTTCCACGGTTTATATTCGCGCCGAGAACTCACAAATGAGTCGTTGAGTCATTGAAATTGAAAAAAAAGTATTTCAAGGATTTCGAGGATAATATGCGCCCGATGATACGCTATTTTATAATTCGTCTTCGCGTCGGGAAGGAGCGAAATGGAGGAGAGAATAAAGAGAGAGGGGAAAGAAGCGCAACGGAGAACGAAGTACAGAGAAAGAGATCGATAGATAGAACGATTCGCGCGTTCTAGATTTTTCGACCAAGTGCTCGCTGCCTTTTATTCGAATTACCGACAGAGGAAAAAAAAGGAGATTTAACGACGAGATTCCACGACTTTGTCAAAAAAGAAAGAAAAAAAAAAAAAAAAAGGAGAAGAGAACCGATTCAAAAATTGTCGAAAAATACTCGAACAGGGAGTAATAATATTTTCGATTGCACCGATATACCGCGATATACACCGGGTAACGAGAGTATATCGAACGCTTACATTTGCAATTTTTGACGAACGAAATGTATACGTTAAAGAAATCTTGTTTAATACAATGAGAGTGTATAGGAAGAAAAGTCAAGATTATGTCAGCAAAATTTGAAAATGATTCAATTTATGCAGTAGTTATAAACACGCGCTAATAGGTTACAAAAATATTCGAATACGTTGTTGACAGTTTCTATACATTTGTATACAAGTGAGAGAATTTTTACGTTCGGTTGATGTCAACCTCGTTCCATTAACAATCGTTCCATTAACAATAACATAAAAGTATGCTGCGATATAATATTCAAAATGAATCCGTATTATTTATTTCATATATATTTCATATATATCTTTCATATATAGCCATCTTTCATATATATATACACATTACGAGAGCCGATATTAGAGAACATTCTTAGAATGCTCGAAGGAAATCGCGATAAATAGGTACCGCCAAGGGGGAATTTCTTTGAAGTTTTTACGTCTTCTTTCGGAGGGCAAGTAGTATACGCTCGAACGGAACGAATCGTTCGAGGCGAAGATTTCAATCCGACGGATGGATAAAACCGGACTGCTTCAATGCTTCTCGTTCGATCAAAATTTCTCAATAAAAATTTAGACTCTCGAAGATTCGCATTGCGTTCGTTCATTTGTTACTGGACAAGTTCCGAAATTGGAAATTACACCTTTGTTTATAACCTCGATCGAATCGTACGATTAATCAAAGCGAAAAGTATAAATTCGTTTGTCGCGAATTTTAATCTAATTTTCCACTCTCAACCACCACATGGATTCGATATGACGACGATATTTACTTACGATCGATTTTCTTTCAAAATATTCGCTTTGTGAATAAATTCCTAATCTCTTTACGTATAATCTTTATGAAACGTGGAACAATATATATAGAGATAGATTTTCTTATCTTAAATTAGATCGAGGATCAGACCGTATCTTCGGCATTGGGTGCGAGTTTCACGGTTCGTGGCGACAGGAATATTATTTTTCGAATTTTTGCAAACGACGATTAGCCTCCTCGAGCGAGGATGAGTTTGATTTTTTGTTATCGATCCGATGAAATTACTTCTATTCGCGAAGAAATTGACGATAGATAGATAAAGAGAGGGAGAGAGAAAAAAAGAAAGAGAGAGAGAGAGAGAGAGAGAGAGAGAGAGAGAGAGAGAGAGAGAGAGAGAGAGAGAGAGAGGCGAAAATAAGAATAATAGACGGCGAATGGTGAGAGCGCGTTACGTTAACAAGAGTTTAAGAAAAGGTTTGCTCTCGACGAAATGAGAAAGACGAGAGATTTTATTTGTCCTTGACAAATCGAGGATGCGTCTTGCTTAATAAAATATCGCGCGAAACAACGATACGAAGTTTAATATACGACGAATTTTCTTTCTTTATACAGTGAAAAATATAAGATATAAAAGTTTTATTTTAAGTTAATTTCACGCGGGTGAAATCGTTTCGAGTCAACCGTGAGAAATTCATCGAGCGTACGGAATATATCGTCTCGAGTTGTCGGTTCGGCCGGGAGAAAAAAGATATATAATATCTTTCGACGTATGTGAAAATGAATTGGATACACACGCGGGGGATTTTCTACGCTTTAATTACGAGTCTCGCGCGGCCCGACTAATTGCCTTTCGTTTTAATCCCGTGAAAGCAGCCCACGGATGGTTCGAGGATCGACGACGCGGACGAGAGACGCGAGTAATCTTCTTCCCTTCGCGTGAATCGAAGTCATCGAATCGTTAAATTTCTTCCTTTCGATCCTTTCAGAATTTCAAACGAGGATAACACGAAACCGAGGACAATCGCGAATATGTCGATCCGTTCTCCTCGATTCCTTGAAAGAGAAGTGCTCGAAACGCGGTTCAGAGAGGGAATTCGTTATTAATATTTTTCGTTAATATTCTTCTATAATATTCAATATTAAATCCAGAAACTAATTCTGATTCGATTGAATCAAATGGAGTTCGATTTAATTCAATCAATATTCTTATAAAAAATATTAAATATAAAAGGATAAATTTGTAATTAAAATTACAAATTTAATATTATCTTGATAATTCTAAAAAAAAGTAAACCTTTTGATTAATAACATTAATCTAAAAACTAAAAAAATATATTAACTTCAAATTATTATCGAAACTAATTCGTATTAAACCTATAACTGCATAATTACAATTTGAAATTCAAATAAAATCCCAATAGCTAAAACTAATAATATAAATAAATAATTTTGATCGAATAAAGATTATAATTTCGAAGATATATTGTTTTTCTTCCAATCAGAAGAAAAACAGTTTAATTTCATGTGGTAATATACAAAATATGAATGTTTTCATCACGAGAAATATTATAATATTCGACACAACCGACACTACCATACTCGTATCGAGCCAGTTTCGGCATATCGAGTTACACCAACTGACACAACCGAACCGAAACGCGCGAGGCAAGACGCGCAGGCGAAATTTTCGAATCGCGATATATCTTATTGCTAAACGCGCGCGAGCTCTTTCGCTTTTTTCTCTTTCAACTCTCCAAGGACGTTCCGTATTCCCCTTAACGCCGGTTATATCATCCACGGCCGCATCTAGCTATTTTCCTTCGGGCACCTTCTTCAAAGTTAATGGAATTCATTAATTCCGTCTGACTGAAATCAGCCACTTCGTTATTCTTATTCAAAGATGGATTGCTCGAATGTCCGCCCATGGTACAGCATCCATTAACGGTTGAGCGAAAGCTTCTGGTTCGATTCTTCTTTTTTATTTTTTAACTTTGCCCTTCGA